TTTAATTTGATGCAATCTCTTTAGTTAAGTGCTTGGAGCATCCACTACAAATTTGTAGTCTTCAAGCACACCTTTCATGGGCATCTAAAAATAAAAATTTGGTACCCAACCACTTTTGGGTCCTCGATGGTTAGGAGAAAAATAATCATAATCATACCATAAATCCCTATGTTTAGTAAAACATACGGGTGCAATGTGTCCTACCCGATTGCAATAGTGACATATTACGTTCGGGTTGTGCATATGTCTAGGTTGAGCCAAATTATATCTAGGTGATCTAAAATCATTATTCCTAGAATTAATATTCCTAGACTCATTTCTAGGTTGTCTAAAATCAATCCTTCCATTTATAAAATTCCTAGAATCATTTCTAGGTTGTCTAAAATTCATCCTATCATTTTTAAATTTCCTAGAGTCATTTTTAGGTTGTCTAAAATTATTCCTAAAATTTTTAATATTCTTAGGATTATTTCTTCTAGGTGGATTAATTATCTTCCCCTTTTTTAATGGTTTTCTTAGGCTCTTCTACCTTAAGTTTTTCTAAAGTGCTCCTAAGTTCTATGTTTTCTAACTTTGAAGACTCACAAGAAGAACATGGAAAACTTGGGTCAATAGAATAGGAAGCTTCATTCATTGCCTTAATTTTATTTTTAAGATCATGATTATCATTTTTCAAAACTTTATTTTCTTCTTCCAAATCATGAAGTTTAGCCTTAGACTCTTTGGCAATTGTTGAAGCTTTCTTAAATTCACCAAATAGTTCTATAAAAGCTTCATGTAATTCTTCAAAAGAAGGAGAGTTTGAAGTACTTACCTCTTCTTCTTCATTGGCTATGAAGCAAATGTGGGGTTCTTCAATTGCCTCTTCAAGAGTTTCATATTTCTCTTGAATGTCGTCCCATAACTTCTTGGCTGATACATATCCCGAGAAAATTTGGAATACTTCCACGTCGATGGCACAAAATAGAAGGTGTAGAGCTTTAGCATTTTTTTCGACCTTCATGAAATCATCATCCGTGTACTCCTCTTCGGGTTTGAGGATTCTTTTCTTGCCAACCTTCTTTGTTGGAAGACAAAGTCCATTGTTGATCATCACCCATGATTTGTAATCAACGCATTGAATGAATATTTTCATTGTCTCTTTCGGTGGATTGCCCTTCTCTAATCCTTGCGTTCAACATTCTCAAAAAAAAAAAATTTTGATCGTTTTCTCAAACGTCTAAGAAGCGTTAGAGATACCTGCTCTGATACCAATTGTTAGCCAAACGTGCAACTCTAGAGGGGGGGTGAATAGAGTTGTTAAGAACGTTTACCGATTTTCGCAGGATTAAAAATATAAATGTAAGTGCAGCGGAAATAAAAGAGAGAAGGCAAAGAACACACCGATATATACTGGTTCACCACCTCGTGGCTAGTCCAGTCCCCTGAGAGATGCTCTCGAAGCTACCACTACTTCCGTTAAGCTTACGGGTGCTTAACAAACCGTTTACAAACCGAGAACTTGAATCCCACAAGCCTCGACACAACCCCTCGTAGATATGCCCTCTACAAGACTTCACACTCAAGACTTAAGTCGCAGAAGTCTTATACAACAAGAAGAACAATCTTCTTCAGCCTCACAACAATAACTCTCACAAGAGTAGAAATGAGAAAACATTAAGCTCTATGGATGACAAGAACACCCTCTTGAAAACACTTAATTTTCTCTTAAAATATATCAATTTGAGGAAGAAATGAATGGAGGATTATAATCTCAAGATAGGGGAGTTTAGGAGTGCTTGTTCTGATTAAAAATGACCAAGGAAAGAAGTTTATAAAGTGGTTGAAGGAATATGTCCCTTGAAGCTTAGAAAAAACAGTTTGTTGAAAATAAAAATCGATTAATGCACCATGCTAACCGATTAATGCAGTCTGTGCAAAAATCCTTCAGCGGATGAAATGCTAATCGATTTTTGCCCAAGTGTAAAAATCGATTTTTTACGCAATTATGCCCAAACATGAATGACACAATCATGTGCGCGAGGTGAAGTGCTAATTTGGAAATTAGCACTTGTTTAGGACAAGAAAATCATATCAAAAGGCTCCCCAATCAACCTACATAATTCAAATTCAAAATTTGAATTATGAAAAAATATTTTTGGTGTAGAAAATGAGTTCCAAAAATATTTTGTGTGTCAAACGATGAACATGAAAATATTTGAATAAAATATTTTTGCTTTCCAAAAATATTTTCTAATATCAAAATAAATATTTGATAAATGTTTGACACACCTTTGGTAACTGACTCAATAAATGTATTTTGAATAGTTAAAAGGATTTTTCAACTGACTCAAAAAATATATTATTTTTATATTTACTCTCATAAAAATAATATTTGGAGAGAAGATATTTTTGTCATCCTTACAATAATTCCTAAGACTCAAATAAATAAAAAGTCTTCGGAAATCTTCTCCTCCTCTAAGTCCTCCGTTAGGCGCTCCGAACGCGTCTTGGACTCCAATAAAATCCTGTGTACTTTCTTGAATACTTCAAGGAATGACACTTCAAGTCTTTGTGTTTGTCGTTGTATCACTTTGATCTTGACTTGAATAAATTGTGTTTGTCAATTATCAAAACCTGTGAGTCAATACTTAACAACACAGAAAGGGTTGAACTCATGCATTCGAACATTAACATGCATTAGTTCTATTACATTGAACACTAGTTTTTTAGTATGTTTATTATTCGCAATTAGCTCACTGCCTATACTATATTTTATTCAGGTACTAGGTCAAATAGATGAATTGAGCCTCGTAATGAATCCAGTGGCAAATTATGCTTGTACACATTTATGTTCTTGGACTATCATTCCTAGTATATCTAGTTGATTTATTATTTTCTCTAAAGTTTTCAACATGGGCTTGATGAGTTTTTGACATTTGGGTTGTTCTGTTGGGTTAAGTTGGCTCTTACTAGCCTTATTATGAGATTTTCTGCTACAGTTTGCTATTACTAGATTTGTTCTAGAGTTTTACTACTTCTGTTTGGCTTGTATTTAATTTTTTCCAATAAGAATTTCCTTTTCTGCAAAAAAACTCATGCATCCTCTACTCTCAATCATCATCTTCTTTTTAACTATAGAAGTTCCTTAGCTTCTTGAATAATTGCATTACACCATATTATACATTATTTGTTACATAATTATTGGAGCTAGCTTGTTACACCATGGGTAATCAAAATATGGAAAATATCTTCATTGAACATTCTTACCTTTGATGTTTATTTTAATACTTATGTTTATTAGTTTTGTTTGTGTATATATAGAAGTTCAGTTTTGTTGGACTGGAACCAGCGGATAAAGTTAAACTAAAACTTGAAGCTCCC